CTGCACAAGCACCATCTCCACAGCATGCTCCCTACAGCTCCTGACTACAGAAGGAAAGCCAGACTTTCCTTACAATGGATGCTCCTGACTGATCTGGGCCAGGGTGGGGCTTGGCACTGGAAAGAAGAGCAGGGAGCCTCTCTCTCCTGTCCTTTCAATCGTGCCCCTGCTGGCACCCAAGCAGCATGGAGGAGGAAGCCATCTGATTCAAATGCAGAAGGGACAAGAGCTGGACATAAGGTGTTGCAGGAGAAGGCCTGTGGAGTAGGTGACTGGGCCAAGGAGCCTGGAAGGCAGAGCCTGTGACTGGAGGCTGGCAGGGGGTGGAGACTGGGACTGGCTGGGCAAGGAGACAAGGTCTGGGAGCTGGGAAAGGACATGGGGGGCACTGGAAGTGGGAACCAATGGGGCAGCAGAAAGGAGGTAGGTGTGAGGGGAGACAGATCTGACAAGGGATGTACAGGGGGGAGAATTGGGGCTGACTGGGCAAAGACAATGGGACAAGGAACCATGGTAGGTGAGGACATCGAGATTGGATGAGAGGAAGACTAGTGCTGGAATCCAGTTGGAACGGGAATGTGGGCAGTGGAAGCGGCAACTGGAGTTCAGGGGGAGATAAAAGAGAGAGATAGGGAGGGAACAGGGAATGGCTGGATAAGGAGAGGGAACAGGGAATGGCTGGATAAGGAGACCAGAAAGGGAGAAACTCGGACTCAGACAGGAGATACTGGGAAGTGAACACTAGGGCTTTCAGTTCCTAGGCAGTGGCTGGGCAAGGAGATTGGGATTAATATCAAAAGCCATTGAAGTGGAGACTGGGACTGACTAGGTGAAGACAATGTCACTGGAACAGGAGTCAGTAGTGAGGTAGAGGCAGGAAAGGGACTGACACAGATTGGAGGGGATAGAACAGAAGGAATCGAACTTGGGAGGAAATTGCCAGAAGTGTCTGTTGCACCTAGAGCACACTGTCCTGAAATCATAGAATCATAGAATATCAGGGTTGGAAGGGACCCCAGAAGGTCATCTAGTCCAACCCCCTGCTCGAAGCAGGACCAATTCCCAGTTAAATCATCCCAGCCAGGGCTTTGTCAAGCCTGACCTTAAAAACCTCTAAGGAAGGAGATTCTACCACCTCCCTAGGTAACGCATTCCAGTGTTTCACCACCCTCTTAGTGAAAAAGTTTTTCCTAATATCCAATCTAAACCTCCCCCACTGCAACTTGAGACCATTACTCCTCGTTCTGCCATCTGCTACCATTGAGAACTGTCTAGAGCCATCCTCTTTGGAACCCCCTTTCAGGTAGTTGAAAGCAGCTATCAAATCCCCCCTCATTCTTCTCTTCTGCAGGCTAAACAATCCCAGCTCCCTCAGCCTCTCCTCATAACTCATGTGTTCCAGACCCCTAATCATTTTTGTTGCCCTTCGCTGGACTCTCTCCAATTTATCCACATCCTTCTTGAAGTGTGGGGCCCAAAACTGGACACAGTACTCCAGATGAGGCCTCATCAATGTCGAATAGAGGGGAACGATCACGTCCCTCGATCTGCTCGCTATGCCCCTACTTATACATCCCAAAATGCCATTGGCCTTCTTGGCAACAAGGGCACACTGCTGACTCATATCCAGCTTCTCGTCCACTGTCACCCCTAGGTCCTTTTCCGCAGAACTGCTGCCTAGCCATTCGGTCCCTAGTCTGTAGCTGTGCATTGGGTTCTTCCGTCCTAAGTGCAGGACCCTGCACTTATCCTTATTGAACCTCATCAGATTTCTTTTGGCCCAATCCTCCAATTTGTCTAGGTCCTTCTGTATCCTATCCCTCCCCTCCAGCGTATCTACCACTCCTCCCAGTTTAGTATCATCCGCAAATTTGCTGAGAGTGCAATCTACACCATCCTCCAGGTCATTTATGAAGATATTGAACAAAACCGGCCCCAGGACCGACCCCTGGGGCACTCCACTTGACACCGGCTGCCAACTAGACATGGAGCCATTGATCACTACCCGTTGAGCCCGACAATCTAGCCAGCTTTCTACCCACCTTATAGTGCAACTCAACTCAATCAACCCAAGATTCCTGAGTTTCCTCTGCTGTCAGCAAATATCTGTGAAATCCATTGACAAAGTGTCCCATCCCCCTCAAGAGCTGGTCCACGTAAACAATAATCTACTACTACTATCAGTTACTCCATAACCTCAAATGGCAGAATCTTTGCCATGGTTCCAAACCTGCTGATGAACCACGTGTGTATCAATATGATGCCACATGATGGAATTTCTTTTTTTTTCAGTTTGATTTTAAAAACCTAAGCTATTGCATATGGTGACCGGGCTGACCTTACCATTGGTACTGCCTAGGGATTAGGTCCCTGGATTTCAACTCTTCCCCCATCTCTAGCGTCTCCTGCTGGTGGTCACTCTGGTAGATAGTAACTCAGCCCTCTTGCCAGGTCACCACAGAAGTCTACCTCTTTCCAGGGTTATGGAGTCCAATAAATTATAGTAGTCCAGTGTCCCCCAAAAAGGACTTTCCAGCCCAACTCCAGGCCCCCAAAGGCCTCACACCCTTACTTCAGGGCTTACAATGCCTATGTCGCCCTCATCACAAGGAGGGAAGGGGTAATGCCATCCTTGCTGCTGCCTGGCTTGTAGGGGAGCCCAGGCTCTGACTGGCAGCAATATCAAGGACCCAGAAGTGCTTTGAGGCTGCCTCCCTGGCCACTTACTAGCACTTACTTTTCCAGTCCAGGATGTGGCCACAGTCTCACCAAAAAAAACATGGAGTGAAGGGTTCCTTAATCCTTAAGAACAAGCTACTACCTCTTCTGGGGCCTGGGGGAGTTGCCACTTGACCTCGCTCCCCTTTCCTGCAGCAAGGACTCCTACTCTACATTTAACTCAAGCACTCAAAAGTTAAAAATGTCAGAATTAAGGTTGCCTGAGCCACTTTAATTTGGACCCCTTACTCACACGTATTATGATACTGTCTTTAATTATGTGATCACATATTATTTTTGTCACAGGAACCCTGCCTCATTCAGTGCACAAGATGGACCTGCTTTGGGGATGAATCAGGGTGGTGGAGTAAGAGACGGCTGTCTATATGATCACTGCCTCCTATGTTGAAGAAGTTGGAACAAGTGTAGTGAACGAGGCAGGGGACTGCAGGAGGAGAAAGGATGGTCTCATGGTTAAGGAAGTTGAATTCTGCCCTGGATAACTGGATTCTATATTGGTCTCCACCACAGGGTTCCCATTTCAGGCTAGCTAAAACAAAACTTTTCACACGGAGTCACTAATTGTGTGTTCCTCATTTTATGGGTGTCTGACTTGAGTCCCTTGGTCTGATTTGTAGAAGTGCTGAGTACTCACAGCTGAAGTCAATGTCTCTGAACATATAACATGATACATAATGCTAAGTACTCTGAAAAATCAAGTCCTAGGCATCTCAAATTGTGCACCCAAAATTAGTGGATACTTTTACTTTCGTCTCTCTGTGACTCAGTTTACCATCTGTAAATGGAGATAATGCCCACTTGGGAAACATAAATTCATTAATATTTGTGAAGCACTCATATACTGTATTGATGTGCATCATAGAAAAACCTATGAAGAAATTAATAATTCTGTCTTCAAAGCAGGGTTTGAATAGCGCGCAGTCAATAACGGATGGAATCACACATTGAACAATGAGGAGAAAACAAAATATTGAACAGCTGCTTATTAAGTGAGCACCATCTATCCTGTGCACTGAATGAGGAAGAAAAAAATAGTATGTGATCATGTAATTAAAGACTGTATCATATGCATATACAGAAGGGGGCGAATTAAGGTTGCATGAGCAACCTTAATTCTGGCATTTCCTAAATTTTGAGTACTTAACCTTGGAACTGTGCAGGATCGGGCTAGATGGCTACAGGAGCGTAATAGAAGGCAGATATATTAGCCCCAGGCTAAGTAGGTCCCTTTTCCCTGGGTAAGGTAACAGGGAAGTTTCCAGAACAAACAGGAAGCTTCTGGAGACAATTAAGACAGGCTGATTAGAACACCTGCAGCCAATCAAGAAGCTGCTAGAATCAATTACGGAAGGCTAATCAGGGCACCTGGGTTTTAAAAAGGAGCTCACTTCAGTTTGTGGTGTGCGTGTGAGGAGCTGGGAGCAAGAGGCACTAGGAGCTGAGAGTGAGAATGCGGACTGTTGGAGGACTGAGGTGTACAAGCATTATCAGACACCAGGAGGAAGGTCCTATAGTGAGGATAAAGAAGGTATTGGGAGGAGGCCATGGGGAAGTAGCCCAGGGAGTTGTAGCTGTCACACAGCTGTTCCAGGAGACACTCTAGACAGCTGCATTCCACAGGGCCCTGGGCTGGAACCCGGAGTAGAGGGCGGGCCCAGGTTCCCCCCAAATCCTTCCAACTCCTGGTCAGACACAGGAGGAGTCGACCTGGACTGTGGGTTCAGAAAAATGGCCAAGCTCGGGGCTGCCGTGGAGCTCCAAGGCGACAAATCCGCCAATAAGCGCAAGACCCACCAAGGTAGAGCAGGAACTTTGTCACAAAACCTTAATAATGTTCTTCTAATATAGTTTTTTGTGTTTAATAGGATTAAAGTCAATGTACTAGACTGTTCATGTGAATCTTTAAAAGGAAATTTTAAAAGTAGTTTGAGACAACAGAAGTACAATGAGCAAAATTAAAATGAAACTAAAAAAATAAGAGTTAAAGAATTTCTAAGGTCCCAAATTCTTCTATCATTCTAGACTACCAAATCTAATTAAAATCAGCAGGAATATGGATTATGAGAAAGAGTGAATCTTAAAACTGGATCAAACCAAGAAATTCCTCAGTGAAATCTCTGTTATCTTACAGGAAAAAAAAATGTTGATGGTTCAATTGCATGGCCCTATAGCTTGAAAATGCAAAAGAATTGTGATTGAATATTGGTGAGATAATCTAAAAGTTAAAAATAAATCGACCATCTTTAAAATCTGTTTCTTACCTGCCATCAATGAGTACTTCAGCCTGTCGATTGTTCACCTGGTTATCACTCTTATGGCGAAACTGCAATATTAATGACATAAAAATACTAGTTAGTTTTTTGTGATCCAAAGTGAACATAAGGACCTGATCAAACAAGGAACTTAAGTATACAGATAACTTTAAGCAAGCAAGCAGTCTCTGTGAGTGAAATCCATTGACTTCAATGGGACCAGAATGTCACACATTGATTTTACATAATTTTCATGACATAAAAAATATTTTAATAAACTCTTTGTTTTTAAAAATGAATTGGTAAACACTAAAGTATTCATTTGCCCCACAATAATTTAATTAACACATGCAATATTCTATGCATTTAATATAAAAATTAGCAAGCCATTGCCTATAAAAGTATTTATTGACTGTTGCTAACTAAATAAGTACACATTAAATCATAGACATTACAGATCGAAAATTGCTCTCCTCATCCATAACATTGCCAATGAAAAACAAGTTTTCTACTGCTTTGTCCAGTCCAGTTTTATGTGCCCAGAGAAAGGCTTCCTCTGCCTTTCTTTAGTAAACTATCCCACAGCCTAAAAGACACACTTTCACTGGAAGAACTTTTTATAAATAACTTTTCCTTTATATTCTACAAAATAATTCTTCTCTCATTTTCATGTCAATATTCCAAATTATGCCACCGATACCATTCTAAATAATTCCTCTCCATTCTTGGTGTCCTTATAAATATTTATGAATTATTATGTACCATTCCCACTTAATAGTTGCTCAACTAGTTTTACATATTTAGCTCATATAATCTTTCTTCATAAATCTATCCATTCAGCCTCAGCTATTTTTGTTGCTCTTTTTCCAACTCTCTGAAATTTATCTACATCTTTCCAAGAGGTAACCAAACACTGAGAACAGTGTTTCTGGTGCACTGTTACAAGACCCACTAGAAAAGTACTATCATGTCCTGGCACTACGATCCCTAGCCCAAAATTGCTTTGGATATTTTTTTCCCATATTTTGTTTTAAACTCATAGCTAATACCATGTCCACTCTTCCTTCTTATATAAGTCCTTTTTGGAATTAATATTTTCCAGGTATCTCCTTCCCCACTGAACATAAGTATTTTGGATAATTTTTCTTTATTTATTCTAGTTTGCAATTTTCCCCACATTGGAGTTAATTTTGTTTTTTCCTATCTTTTTTCCTAGCCTCTCTGTTTTTTTGTATTATTTGTTTGCAACTCCTTCCAGTTTAGTATTAAACTGCATTTGCATTCATTAATATGCATTTTTAGTTCACTTCAAGTTGACTGATGGCAATGTTCAGTAAGACTAAATCTAACCCCAGTCCCATAGAAATCCATCTAAATATCTCCATCATCTCAATACACTGATGGTTATCCTTAGTGAATTGTTTGCAGTCCTTCAGCCAGTTCTCAGCCCATTTAAAAATCCAAAACATCCAGATAAATTTAATCTGGTGTATTTCCCTCATCCACATTAACATACTGCACTATGTCCCAAATTCAGCAACTTACTTAAACTCACGTCTAACATTAAGCACAAGGAGCCCATTTAAAAAAATGGTTACCTACCTCTTCATAACTGTTGTTCTTCAAGATGCGTTGCTCATGGACATTCCATTCTAGGGAACAGAACACATGCCATTTCCTGTTCTGGTGGGACACACAACAAGTCCACCTTGGGAGTTCCCCACTTCCGGAAGATAATACTGACTACCTCGGGATGGAGCGACCACTCATGGCAAGACGAGAAAGTCCTGCTGAGGTGATCTGCCAAGATGTTCCTGGTTCCAGGCAAGTGAGTGACTATTAAATGAATGGCATGCCACACACAAAAATCCCAAAGGCAGAGAGCTTTTTGACAAAGGGCTGAAGACCTGGTACCTATTGATGTAATACAACGTGGCGGTATTGTCCATAAGGAGCTGCACCACTTTGCCCTTTAGGTGGGGCAAGAAAGCCTGGCAGGCCAAGCGAACAGCTCTGAGCTCCCTGACGTTGATCATCCCACAACCAGTGTCCCTGGGTGCTCAGCTCACCCAGGTGGGCTCCCCAGCCCAGGTCCGAAGCATCAGAGACTACGGTCAATGACGGGGACTCCCTCCAACACCGACCTGGGGTCCAACCCCCAATCCAGGGACAACCATATGTGGTCCGGCACCCTGACTACCTGGTCTAGGTCGTGCATGTTGGGGATGTAGACTGACGTCAGCTACACTCGCAGAGGCCGGAGATGGAGCCGAGCATGGCTGATAATGTATGTACAAGCAGCCATGTGGCCCAACAGCCACAGGCAGGTTTGGGCTGTGGTGAGCGGGTTGTTCTTTACATGGGAGATCAAGTCTGACATGGCCTGAAAACGCGCTTCCAGAAGGAAGGCTCTGGCTCGCGTGGAGTCAAGACCCACCCCATGAATTCTATTCGCTGGACAGGTGATAAAGTGGATTTTTTCTCATTTATTAATAGGCCCCCGTCACATGCACTAGATCAAGGCTCCTCTGTACTTGCTACCGAGACCTGTCCTTGATGAGCCAGTTGTTGAGATATTGGAAGACCTGGACCCCTTGATATCTCAGGCCACTAGCTCCATACACTTTGTGAACACCCTGAGGGCCAAAGGGCAACACCATGAATTGAAAATGGCATCTGCCCACTATGAAATGGAGGAAACATCTGTGACCTTGAGAGTGGCATACTAATCTCCCGGATCCAGGGAGGGGATGATGGAGGCCAGGGAGACCATGCGAAATTTCAACTTTCTGAAAGACTTGTTGAGGCGACACAGTTCCAGAATGGGTCTGAGTCCCTCTTTTGCTTTCAGAATTAGGAAGTAGCGGGAATAGAACCCTTTTCCCTTCATGTCCCAAAGGACCTCCTCCACCACCCCCACGCGTAGGAGGTTCTTGACCTCTTGGACAAGGAGTTGCTCGTGAGAAGGGTCCTCAAAGAGGAACGGAGAAGAAGAGGGGACGGAGGGAGGGGCAGCTGAAAATTGCAGGATACAGCCCCGAGAAACTATGTCCAGCACCCAGCAGTCCGAGGTGACCCATGACCAGACCGAATGGTAGGGACAAAGGCGGTCAAACATAGAACAAGGTGGATCCAGGCGTTGCTCTCAAGTGCATCTTCAAAATGAGCACTTCTGATTCCCAGGATGCTTTGCTGGGCCGGGCTGCCCTTCTGTGCCAGAGAAATTGATCTTCCAGAGAGCACGGTGGGGTCATCGCCACCTGAGTCTGCCGGATGACCATCGCCACTGGAGACCAGTGCCTGGAGCAAGAGGATCGGTGCCGGTATTGAGGGGACCAGTGTCAATGCCAGGGGGACCGGAGATGTGATGGGTAGCATTCTCCAGGGGCAGGCGACCAAGATCTGCACGGAGAGGTCGACCAGCAGAAGGGCAAATGGTGCCAGTAGTACAGACACCAGCACCTTCCTCTAGGCAATCCGTGTTGAGACAGGGGGACCGCGATTGTGGTGCCAGTGACCAAGGGCAGGGCCCAGATGATCTGGGCTGTGACTCTGGCAATCTGCGGTGCAGAGGTGGAAAGCACTGTCTCATCTCGGGGGATCAGTCGCGCTCCACTACCCTCTGAGGGATCTTAGTGGCTGCTTGCCCTCGTGGGGAGCCTCTACTGTTTCCTGCAGCACGTGCTGTGTCGGCGGCGCAGGTGGAGGCCTCTGCTATCTCGGCGCCATGAGAGCTTGGGACTTCGATGTCATCAGGGGTTTGGGTCCCCACCACTCCTGGGAGTTGCAGTGGACCTTTTAAGGAGCTAAGAGCCCCAACCGGCACAGATGCGTGGCTCTGGAGTGGCTGGGCAGCCCAAGCTGGGTCCCTTCCCATGGCCCTTCTTGCCTGGTGCTGGGGAGCCATGCTTCCTTGCTTTCTTCTTGGGCACCGGCAATGGGAAGCAGTGCCAGGCAGGTACTTGGTGAGTCTTGGCAGGATGGCTTGGAAGCCGGATGAAGGACAGACTCCATGAAGAGAGCCTGCAAACGAATATCCCACTCCCTCTGACTCCTGGGCCGAAAGTTCTGACAAATACGGCACTTGTCCTTCATGTGTGATTCCCCCAAGCACTTGAGGCAGCTGCTGTGGAGGTCACTTACAGGCATAGGCCTGTTTCAGTCCACACAGGGCTTAAACCCGGGAGACCCGGGCATGCCCTGCCTGCGGCAAAGTCCCCACTGGGATTCTAACTACTAAACTACTTAACACTAACTACTATAAACAAACTATTTACAAGGTCCTAAAGCTCAAGTCAGTAGAGACAAAACTGCTAGCCCTTGCTATGCAAGGAAAGGCACTCTGACTAACCACCGCCGGTTGTAAGAAGGAACTGAGAGAGTGTAGAGCTGGCGGCACCTGATATACCGACGCATGAGCATGGCACTCAAGGGGGCGCTGTCACCAGCCCTACAGATACCGCTAAGACAAAAATCTCCAATGACCATGCACATGGGCACGTGCACACCCTAGAATGGAATGAACATGAGCAAGCATTTGAAGAAGCATTAGGCTTGCACTTGCCCCCTTGAACACACCCAAGGGTGCTGGAACAAACTTTATAGTGGGGGAGCAGATGATGGAAGCCATAGAAACCAGAGAAGTAGACTTTCTAATGTGCTGGGGGGCCTACTTCCTCCTCTCCAGTGCCTCCTGCACGCCACAGAACAGCTATTTGCGGTGGGCGGGAGGCACAGGAAGGAAGTGGGAGGCGCTGATCAGCAGGCGAGAGGCGCTGGAGAGAGGGGGAGGAGCTGTGGGGGGCTGCTGGTGGGTGCTCAGCACCCACCATTTTTCCCATGGGTGTTCCAGTCGGCGCCTATGATGGAAACCATGCATTTGGTGTTTGCTATCACTACTTCAAGCCAGCACCACTAGTTGCTGCACCACTGAACACACCTTGCAGAATTGGGGCTCACAGGTGTTACTTAAGAGCATTTTAGTCTGATTCTGAGGGAACAATCAGCCCAGTTACAGGAAAATATAAAACCTTACTCATGTCAATTAGTAAGCCTATTTGAAGTAAATACT